ATATATGTGTGTGTGTGTGTGTGTGTGCATGTGTGTGTGTGTGTGTGTGTGTGTGTGTGTGATACCACAAAGGAGAAAGGTGACAATGTTTGTAATGATGAGATAACTTAGTTTTATCTCAGGAGCCTGAAATCCAAAACAGGATGTTTACAGTTAATAGTTCTTCCATTAAACTTGCTGTGTTGAAATAAAAAAAAAATCAATCAGCAAGAATGCTTTCAGGTATTACATTGGACAATAATTTTAGCAGTTACTGCCATGTTTATCACAGAGATGCCAGGTCAGAGGAGGACAACAAATTACACATCCTTTAATTGGATTTTCAAGGTCAACTTTAGTCATAATTGTCCTACAGTGTCCCCAAATCTCTGAAGGACAAATGTCACAAATCCACATATAAACCATTCAGAATCTCATAACACTGGCTACTTAAACTTCTGATGGTTTGAAAAAAATGTGAAGACTATTATAACTCATAACTATTTATGGGACTTCAAATGCATTGTATGCATGATTAGATATGCTGTTTAGCTTTATAAGTGGAAAAGATTTTATTTTTAAAATGTTATGTATTTTTATTTTGAGAAATCTTTAAATGCTAGAAAAGAATTATAGGAATAATATTTTTCACTTCAATATGTGGGAATAACTAAGTTTTTTTTAAAGGCTCTCCTATACCAAAGAGGGAAAGAGAATAAAAACCAAGAATAACTAGCATGGATTATTATATTTTGGCTAGAAATAAAGAAGGGAGAAATGGGAGAGATGGCTCAGTGGTTAAGTGCACTGACTGCTCTTGCAGAAAACCCAAGTTCTGTTCCCAGCACCCATATAGCAGCTAACAACTGCCTGTAACTCCAGTTCCAGGGGATTTGACACCTTCTTCTGGTCTCCACGGGCATTGCTCTGCATGGGTGCATGTAAATATATGCAGGTAAAATGCTCACACACATAAAATAAAAATAAATTAATTAAAAAGAAGAAATAAAGGAGGGAGAAATAATTCACAAACATGAAATTAAAGGTTTAGAGTATGAAGACCTATCATGCCTTCAACAGAATTTAGGATTTTGTGTGGTGTAGTCACATAATATGGATCAAATTGTAGAAGTAAATGACTTCTATTTAAGAAACAATGATTGGAGTATAAGAGTATAGACAAAAGACTGGTGGTAAGTATATTTAGGTTATAAAAGTAATTTTACAAGCATGCATGTGAATGATCAGAAACATACATAAGAAATAGCTATCACCTATTCAGTCCAGAAATATGAGACACATTGTATGGATTTTCATACTTATTTTTCACAACGCCGTCAGGTATGTTCCACTTTCCAGAGTGGAAAAAATAAAAGACAAAAAATTTACATAGAAGTTACAAAATGCTTACATGTATTCAGTCAGTCACAGCAAATCCACTACTTTGTAGACTAACTGAAAAAATTAATAAGAACTCAAAATAAGAATATGTAGCTAATAAACAATAGAGATAAAATTTTTAAGCCTGGTATCCAGAGATTAGAGATGATGTCCTTAATCACTATACTTCTACAGTACATGTTACTATAAATCAGTTAATTTCATAAAAAATGTTCATATTTTAAAAGTAATTTTTGTTTTTATTCAAAAAAGTCATACAGTTAGAATATTGTCATAATCTGTTTGCAGTATCTTTCACATTTTCCAAAATTATAAACCTTTTTAAAATTTTTTCTTGAACGTTTGCAATTTTCAAATTGTATAATTTGATGGGTTTTAGATCACCCCCTCTCTCCATATACCTCCTTACTGCCCCTTAAGCAATTTAATGCACTCTAATACACACACATATGCATAATATGTATACATATATGTTCTATAGAGTCTAATTTGTGTTTCCAAATGTTCTTCATCTCCATCCACTGGAATCTGGTTAACCTGTTGTGCTGGATAGCTTTAGTGTCAACTTGACACAACTGGGTTGAGGGAGCCTCAATCAGGGAATTTCCTCTGTTGGACTGGCCTGTGGCCAAGTCTGAAGGGCATCTTCTTGATGTGTGATGTGGGAGGGCCCAGCCCACTGTGGGTGGTGCCACCCCTGGGCAGGTGGCCCTGTGTTGCATAAGAAAGCAGGCTGAGCAGGGGCCAAGGGAGCAAGCCAGTAAGCAGTGTTCCTCCATGGCCTGTACTCCAGCTCCTGCTTCCAGGTTCCGGCCCCGAGTTCCTACCTTGGGCTCCCTGATGAACTGCGACCTGGGAGATGTAAGCTGAATAAACCCTTTCCTCCCCAAGTTGGTAGTGGTCAGAGTGTTTTGTCACAGCAATGAAGAAACAAACTAGGACACCTGTCAAGAGTCATATCCTTGAAAGAAACTGGTTCCTTCCCTCCCAGCAGACATCAGTTGGCAAAAGATCCATATTAAAACTTTTAAAAATATACACAGTGGGGGTTGGAGAGATGGCTCAGTGGTTTAGAGCATGTACTGTTCCTGCAGAAGATCTGGGTTCTGTTCTCAGCAATCTGTTGGGCAAGTCACAACTGCCTGTAACTCTAGTTCTCCAAAGGTTCTGTACCCTTTTCTGGTCTCTGCGGGCACTATGCTCACATCCACACACTCACACCCAGACACATATGCATGCACACAACTAAAAATTAATCTTAATAAATAAAACATATACAAGGATAATTTCTCAATTTATAATAAAAATTTCAGCTAAAAATGTAAAAATCTCACATACTTTTCTTTCTATATGATTATATTAATCTCCTTGGCTACAAATCCTAGCATTTAGTGTGGATATGTATTTGAGGGTATGCATGGCTTCAGTTTTAGTAAGCTTACCCATCTGTACATAAAAATATGTTGTTGCCAGGCATGG